TAACTCTGAACAACAGCGTTGATCTCTTTTTATAATCCTTGTTTGATTTACATTATTTACCAAATATATTTTTCTCTCTTTTTTTTAACAATACATTTTTCATAAATAATATTACACACAAATCTAAAACTTTTGCTTATTTTTTAACCAGACATTCTCTATCAATCTATTTTTCCAAGCAGATATCTTGCTTTTTACCTCTTGAAATCATCACAATAGCAATCTTTGAGTTGATTCAAAGATAGTTGCAGACAGACTTATCTTAATTACAGAAAGCCAAATTGTAACTTTTAGACGGTAGTAACAGGAGAGAATATACAGAATAAGATAAGTTCCAGTATTTACATAGATAGAAGCCTACTACTCAAAGCTTTTAGTAGTCTGCATATTCTCGGAATAGTATCTATATTAATGTCATCTGGGATAGAAAATACTATGGGAAATGTTAGTGATTGATGAAGGCTTTCCATAATCGACTGGTGAAAATTGTTCTTCGCATGGATCATTAAGTTCCATGGACTCGTATAAGTAAGGGGGATTAGTTGGCTCGGGGAGTTGCTCTTCTTTCTTTACCACCATCTCTAGGACTTTAGACATGGATGGTCTAAGAGACGAGATCTCTTGAGTGCACAAGAGTCCGACATGAACAACCCTTAGAATCTCCTTTTGAACATCCATGTTATGACAGTTATGCAGCATCAAGTTTGGGTCGAACAGACTGTCTACTTTGTTTTCCTGAAAATGATTCCACGCCTGTTTTCATCCAAAATAATGTTACTGTTAAGTCAAAATGAAAAGCGATATGCTGAGTAAGATGTTGAAATATAGATGAACTCATCAAACCAATGCCTAGATTTAGAATTACATCGAGTGAAAAACTAAGGAAACTGTAATAGATGGAAGTTCATCTCTACATTGAAAACAATTCTTTGTATATAAAGGAAATCAAAGTATTGACTAAAAAATGAAAAAGATTAAAGAACTTACAGTAGTTAACAAGCTGACTGAGTACTCAGATTCTCTGCTCATGTTATTTTGTCTCCCTGTGACAATTTCAAGAAGAAGTACTCCAAAACTATACACATCTGCCTTTTCTGTTAACTGGCCACGGGCTATGTACTCTGGAGCCATATATCCTCTGCATATTTAGAAATTCAAGATAATTTATGAGATCAACTTGCCAATGCAGTTTCTATATTAGCTTTTATGTTGAGAGAGATTAATCATAGACTTGATAAGCTTTCATTTTTGGTCACTTGAGGATTCATGATGTAGAAGATGAGAATACTCACAATGTTCCTGCTATGGCTGTGCTAATATGACTTTTATCTTCTTGGAAACACCTGGCCAACCCAAAATCAGCAATTTTAGCACGAAATTTGAAGTCCAGAAGGATATTACTCGCTTTTATGTCTCTGTGAATGATTCCGGTTTTCGTGTTTTCATGAAGGTAGACCAAACCTTCTGCAGTCCCTTTAATAATCTGAAATCTCTTCTCCCAATTTAGTTCTTTCCCTCTTCTTGGATCTGTCAAATTCAACATAACACCACACCTATGTTATCACTGCAGAACACGAATTAGAAAAGGTAATGCATAATCATTGTTCTAAACTAGCAAGATAATGTTCCACCCTGAATTTGAAATGTAGTACTTACCATAGATAAACCTATCAAGACTCTTGTTTGGTAAAAATTCATACACAAGAAGACTTTCAGGTCCCGAACAACTGCATCCCAACAACCTAACTAGATTTTTGTGCTCAATACTGCTAATAATATTGACTTCATTATAGAAATCTGCTGCTCTATGTTTATTGTTAAAGAAAAGCCTCTTTACAGCAATATCTCTTCCATCTTGCAAAACTCCCTGACAGAACATAAGTCTTTAGCTTGGAAATCAATATATGATGATA